ATAGAAAAATTAATTTGGACATAGGTCGGAGTCCTAGGTGTTATGATAAAAAAAAACAGCACCCACCATAGTCACTTTCATTTCTTGCAAATATTCTCCTCACCCAATTCAACAATACTAGTATGTTTGGTCTAATGGGCAATGTACAGTTCTTGCAAATGTGCAATCTACACAGAGAGACTGAAGTCAATACCATGCTTAGGATTTCTCTGACGCTTCTTGGTCTACTCTTCAGTGCCTGCTGAAATAGCTCAGGTTGTCCAGACAGGCAAGAGCTTCTTGGTCTACTATTCAGTGCCTGCTGAAATAACTCATGTTGTTCAGACAGGCAAGACTCTTCCATTTCTTACCACTGGAGCTGCATTACTAATGTAGTAGAGTTGGTGGGTTAACACGGGCAACCAGGCTGTGTTGCAGAGCTACAACACACTGTGTCCTGATGGACTTTCAGGAACTCACAATGTCATGCGACTTGCACTTATGAAAGATGGCTTTATAAAGTTATGCACTGAATCATGAAAGACCTTTCACTATGTGTGTTCAGTACACAACTCTAGAACCCAAGTACCACTGGCTTGTTTTGTGGCCACACCAGTGGTGCTCAGATCTTTTAAATGGCTCTGCAATCAGGGATCAGTCCTTGTGGGGCTTAGGGGACCATGTGGGGTGCCAGGGATCAAATCCAGGTCAGTTGCATGCAAGGCAAGCATCCTAACCGCTGGACTATCTCTTTGGCCCCAAACTCAAGTTCTATTTAAATTTTGATTCTTTTGTGAGGGATTCAGTGTTTTCCCCCTCTAGAGATATTTAGGTTCATTTTCGTATTCCTGGTGGTCTTGAAAATGACCAAGGATGCATTTTAGTCTACTCTTTTACAAAATTGTCTCATTTTTATTTGGTGTATCTTTTCAATACACATGGTCATGTTCTTCACTTCTAGAAAAAAAAACTCCCATCTTTTTTTCTGATATATCTTTGAAAAGTCCCTTCCCTTTTTCTCTAGTCTTTCTTTTGGAGGCTCAAGGGGGTGGGGTGGGGTGAATGAGGTCTCTTGAAGTGATCCTCAATGTCTTTTCTCTTTCACTTTTTTTTCTCTGTGTGTGAATTGCAATTTTACAATAACTGTACATTGCCCATTAAATCAATGATCCTAGAATTATTGGATTGGGTGGGGGAATCATGATCACAATCATCCTGTTGTTCGTCAATTGCCTTGAGCAGGCACCAGTAACGTCTCCTTCTTCCTAGCCCTGAGATTTTAAAGTGCCATATTAAAGGATCTTTCAGGGTTAGGAGAATGAGACCCATCATTGTTACTGGTGTTTGGCATATTGGGTACGCCACGGGGCGTTTGCCAGACTCTGCCGTGTGGGCAGGTTACATTCGGTAGCCTGCCAGGTTGTCCAAAGTAAGAATGAGATGATAAGATGTCGCGCAGCTGCATTCGCTTCCAGGAGCTTGGTTTTGTAGTCTCTGGGTCTTGGCCATTGATAGGATTACCCGGCGCTAGGGGTCAGTAGGTGGGTGTGACCCCTGCCTACTGGAAGATGGAGGATCTGGGTGGAGGATTCTCAGCCCCAATCCGAGCAGGCTTGGAGATCTCAGCCCTGGGACTCGCATGCCTTTGTTCGTCTGCCAGTACCTTCATGCGTGTGGAGAGTGGTCTCAGCATGGTTGTGGCTGGTTCTGGAGGTCTTCGGCTGCCGGGGCTCTGATCGGGGCAGGGAGGGAAATTCAACCCGCCCCCCTCCAAGGGACCCCAGCGAGGACAGCCAGGCATGGGGGCAGGAGACTCTGCACTGTTCTCTTCGCTCTTCTCTTCCCGGGAGCTGGGTTTTGTAGTCTCTGGGTCTTGGCTGTTGATGGGATTACAGGGCGCTGGGGGTCAGTTGGTGGATGTAACCCCTGCCTACTGGAAGATGGAGGATCTGGGTGGAGGATGCTCAGCCCTGATCAGAGCAGGCTTGGAGATCTCAGCCCCGGGACCCGCATGCCTTTGTTCCTCTGCCAGTACCTTCATGCATGGGGGAATATTTGCAAGAAAAAAATGAGATATTTTTACTATACTTTTCTAGAATACCAATATTCTACTACTAAGGGACTATTTCACCACCACCCCCTTTCTTCAAAGTTCCTTTATTCAATCTTCCTCCTTACTCCCATCTGATGACTTGAATTAATCATTAAGAAAAAATAAAGATAGGAGGTCCATTTATTTACTTATTTTTTCACCACACTTGGTGCCGCTTAGGGACTACTCCCAGTGCTGTACTCGGGGAAAGATGAAGTCATGAAATTTGCTTATAAATGGGTAGATAGGGAGAGTATCATGCTAAGTGAAATGAGTCAGAAAGAGGTACAAACATAGAAGGACTGCACTCATTTGTGGAATATAAAATAACATAATATCAGATTGACACCCAAGGACAGTAGACACAAGGGCTAGGAATATTGCTCCATAGTTGGAAGCCTTCCTCATGAGCTGTGGGAGAAGGCAGATGAAATAAAAAAAAGTATCAGTAAGTCAATGATGGCTGGAGGAATTGTTCAGGATGGGAGATGTGTGCTGAAAGTAGATAAAGGCCCAAACGAGATAGCCTCTCTGTATCTGTATTGCAAACCATAATACTCAAAAGTAGAGAGAGAGAGTGTGGGGGAAATTGTCTGCTATAGAGGCAGGGGGAGGGTTGGGAAGGGGGGAATACTGGGGACATTGGTGGTGGAAAATGTGCACTGGTGGAGGGATGGGTGTTCGATCATTGTATGACTGAAACTCAAACAAAAAAGCTTTGTAACTGTATCTCACGGTGATTCAGTTAAAATTAAATTTTAAAAAGTTATCATGGTATAGATCTCCCATGTCTTTTGTTAATATGATTTCTAGAAACGTGATGTTTTTGCATACTATTTTAAATGGGATGGACTCCATGATTGCTTTCTCCTCTGATTAATTCTTTATATGTAAGAATGTGATTGGGTTTTGTGTATTGATATTGTAGCAGACCACTTTTCTGTATTGGTTGTTTCTAGGAGCTTTTCTGTGGACTCTGGGGTCTTCTATGTATATAATCATATCATCTGCAAATAGTGATAATTTGAGTTCTTCTTGTGATAATTTGAGTTCTTCTTGTGATAATTTGAGTTCTTCTCTTACAATTTGTATCCCTTTCATTTGTTTTTCTTTCCTGATTGTTGTAGCCAGGACTTCTAATCCTATGTTGAATAGAAGTGGAGAAGGTGGACATCCTTGTCTTTTACCTGATCTCCAAGGGAATTTTCCAGTTTTAATCATTAAAATGATACTGGATGTAGGCTTGTTATAGATGGTCATTATTATCTTGAGGAAGTTTCCTTCCACCCCTATTTTGTTGAGGGATTTTATCATGAGTGAATGTTGAATCTTTTCAAAGTTTTTCTCGGCATCACTTGATAAAGTCACCTGCATTTTAAAGGTGTTGGTGGAGAGTAGTTGTCATGTGGTTGTTTGTGTGTCTGCATGATTTGAAGTTTTGGGGGTAACTGGTCACACCAATGTCTCCAGGTGCTGCAATGGAGCTCCTAAAACTCCTTATACTCCATAGAGACTAGGGTATTCGGATCATGGCAAAGCTGGATTGCAGCCTTCCAGTACCTGGGATAGGTGTCTGGGAGAGTTTTGTCTGTGGGTCCTACACTGGAGTTCCCCAAACTCCTTCTAAGCTGCACCAGTAGGGACTAGGGGATTTATGTCAGGGCAGATGGGTTGCCTTCTGGTACCTGGGAAAGGTGTCTGGGAAACTTTTTCTTTCCTCCAATTTTTGATGGGATTGCTATATTTTTTCCTTGTTTTTCTCTTTAGGCTTCTTCAACCAGTGCTCAGAGTTTACTCCTGTTTCTGTGCTCAGGGGTCATTCCTGGCAGGGCTCAGGGGACCATATGGGATGCCAGGGATTACTTGTGTGGGCCAAGTGCGAGGCAAGGGCCCTACCCACTGTACTATTGCTCTGTCTCTTGTTTTTTCCCTTGCAAAGTTTTAGCAGTGCTTTATATATCTTGGGTATTAACCTTTTTTCAGGTGAATGGTAGTAAAAATATTTTCTCACAGTCTGTGGCATGCCTTTTTATTTTGCCCATTCCTTTTGCAGTGTAGAAACTTTTATATTTGTTTTCCAATATTTATTTATTTATTTCATTTTTAATTAATCACCATGATATACAGTTTCAGACTTTATTTTCCTTTTTCTTTTAAAAATTGAATCATTGTGAGATATACAAGTTACAAAGTTATTCATGACCTAATCTCAGTCATCCAATTGTCCCACACACATCACTTCACCAGTGCACATTTCCATATAGTCCCTTAAATTTTGCTTTGCTTCTGTGTGCTTGGTTAATGACACTGAATCACTGAAGATACCTGTAGGTTCAATAACATGACATGTTATACCTATGGCTTTTTTTCAGTATAAATTATGAGGTCTGATGTGATATCAAGGTAGTAAGGTTTTTTTTTTTTGCTTTTTGGGTCACACCCAGCGATGCTCAGGGGTTACTCCTGGCTCATGCACTCAGGAATTACTCCTGGCAGTGCTCAGGGACCATATGGGATGCTGGGAATCAAACCCAGGTCGGCCATGTTGGCTGCACGCAAGGCAAATGCCCGCTCCAGCCCCTAGTAAGTTTTATTTTTGTTTAATATTTTGGAGTTTTGGGGCAATACACAGCTGTTCTCAAGGCTTACTCCTGTCTCTGCACTCAAGAATCACTTCTGGCAGACTTGAGGGACCATATGGGATGCTGGGCATCAAACCTGGGTATGACATGTGTAAGGTCTGTGTCTTTTCTGCTGTCCTATCTCTCCAGCCCAATATTAAGGTCTTCAATCCATTTTGATTTGACTTTGTGCATGGTGTTAGAAAGGGATCTGAGTTCATTTTTTAAAAATGTGACCAACAAGTTTTCCCAACATCAACTGTTGAAGACACATTCCTAGCTCCATTTCATACTTTTTGCTCAGTTGATAAAATATGTAAAACTTCATGAATTTGTGTGTCACCCTTGTGCAGGGGCCATGCTAATCTTTGTATCATTCAAAATTTAGTTGTATTTGTTGCCAAAGTGAGCAAAAATTGGGGGTTCTTTTTAACTGCTCATGCAATTCCTGCAGGGGGATGACAACTGAAGACTTACCTGGCAGCATTTGCAACATTGAGGGTTGGGGGAGGATAAATCTCCCAAAGGGAGATCTGAAAGGTACATCATAATTTCTGCAACTCACCTAGCTGCCCCAGAGAGCAGGGAACTGGAACTACTTACACAGTTTCTGTTCCTCTCTTCTCAACTCAGCCTGCAGTGACAGCAAGGTGGTAGCTGAAAATTGGCCCATCAATGGGATTGGGTGGAGGCAGTCCCGATGGGGCTGCTTCTAGGGGTGTTCAAGGAACCTTGGAGTGTTGAGAATCAAACAGGGCTCTCGTAAAGCATTGCACTCCAGCTCTTCGACCTATCAGCCTGGCCCCCTGGTGTGGGTCTTAAAACATTTTTACCAGTCACAGATGACTCCAGGAACTTGGCATCTGATTATTCCTTTTTTATATTATTGTTTATGGATTAATCATGACTGATATTTTCTGGTGTATAAACAATAAGCATTGGGGATTGTCACTCAGTAGTAAAGCACATGCTTTACCTGTGTAAGGGCTGGGTTAAGTGAATTAATGGCATTGCATAAACACTCTAAGCAATCAGGAATGCCATTCCTTGTGTGTGGAGGGCTCTTCCAGAGCAGTGCTCTGTGGGTTTGAAGGCCTAAAGAGTTCAGTACTCTGTATAGTGATGCAGTTCTCCGAGAGCCTAGCGGTGCTGGGGGACACCATGGCCACTTGAACAGTGCTTCAATACATCCAGGACAACACTTCAAGATGGTTGGGGGACCCTAAACTGAACTTGGCCCTCCACGTGCTAGGAATACCCTCCAGCCCTTTGAGCTGTCTCCCCATCCCTCACTGCTGTCTTTAAAGCTTTCCCTCCCTGGAATTCTGTCTGTTACGTCAGTGGGTTTTTTTCCCACTTAGCCATCTATCCTGCTTTCACCTTCCAAATACCAAAGGGCCAGGTGCTGTTTTAGGTGATAAATATACACTGTGAACCAGACATAAACTTGTCTGTATCCTGGAGCTTCTGTGCTAGGGAAGGAAGTTAGATTATAAATGAATAAATATGGAAATAAAGAACAGAATTCTTTTTTGGCAGTGTCTGGGATCAAACCCAGATATATCACATACTAGGCATGTGCTCTATAATGAGTCACATTTCCAACCCCAAAATGGAATTTTTATTTATTGGGGGTGGGATGGGCCATATCCAGTGATGCTTCGATGTCACTCCTGGCTCTGTGCTCAAGGATCATTCCTAATAGCAATGGGGGGACCATATGCAGTGCTGGGAATTGGACACAAAGTTGACTGCATGCAAATCAAGTGCCTTAATTCCTTATATCTCTTGCTCCAAGAATGGAATTTTCATATTTAATCTTTGGGGAAATATTTTTATTTAGGCACTGTGATTTAAAATTGTGTTCATACTAGATTTTCAACTGTGTTCATACTAGATTTTCCAACACCAGTCCCACCACCAGGGTCAGCTTCCCTTTACCAATGCCTTTGTTTCCCTCCCACCCATCCCTCAGCACCTACCTCCTTAATAGGCACACTTAAAAAGCTTATTTGTGGTCATTGGAGGTGGGAGACAACACCTGGTGGTGCTCAGGGCTTACTCATGTCTCTGCGCTCAGGGATCACTTCTGACGATACTCAGGGCACCATATGTTGGTGCTGAGGATCAATCCCAGGTATGCCGCATACCTTACAAACTGCACTATCTCCCCGGACCAGAAAATAAATGATTTTATTTAATATTAAGGAACCATGATTCATAGTTGTTGAGTTTCTGGTATAGAATGTTCTAGCATGAATCCTAACACTAATATAGACATTCCTCCATCAAAGTCCCCAGATTCCCTACCACCCCTACCACCCCCGGTCTGCCTCCTTGACAGGCACATTTCAAAATTCCATTGTTATAGTTTGTATTTAATTATTATAATATTGTTGACTCTCTAGTTTAAATATGTTTAAATATTTAAAGATTAGTTGTTGCAATTTCTGTCTCAGACTTGCAGTAGTTATGGCTTTATGGTTTAGATAGATACATATGTCACACTTCCAAACCACACTTCCAAACCAACGCCCCCACCCTTGCCCCTTTACCTCCTATCTGCTTTTTCATCCCCTAATATTTCTCTTCTTGTTCTTCTTCTTATTTTTTTCTTGCTCTTTTTGTTCTTCTTGTTATTATCCTCATTCTTGTTCTTCTTGTTCTTGTTCTCCTTGTTCTTCTCCTTGTTGTTGTTGTTGCTGTTGCTGTTGTTGTTGTTGTTGTTCTTCTTCTTCTTCTTCTTCTTCTCCTCTTCCTCCTCCTCCTCCTCCTCCTCCTCCTCCTCCTCCTCTTCCTCTTCTCCCTCCTTCTTTTACTCCTCCCCTGAGGAGGCTCAGGGATTATTCCTATCTCTACACTCAGGAATTAATCCTGGTGGTGCTCAGGGAACCATATGGAATGCTGGGATCCAATTCCGATAGGCCACGTGCAAGGCAAATCCCTCCTGCTGTACTATCGCTCCAGCCCCAGCCTTCTTACTTCTATATTCTAGAGCCAGGGTTTTCCATATTTTATACCTTGCATGTCCATGTCTTGTTAACCTATATACCATATATAAGTGTGGTCATCTGATATTTGTCCTTCTGACTTATGTAACATGAGATACTCCAGTTCCATCCAAGTTTTAGAGAACTGCATAGTTTCATTATTCTTTGTGGCTGCAGAGTAAGGAATGGCATTTATAAAAGCTTTCTTTTGTTGTTGCTATTATTTGTGGGGGCTCCATCCTGGGCTACTGGGAGTGAAGCATGCAATGCCAGGGATGGAACCCAGGACCTCAAACATGCAAGGCATGTACTCTGACACTATAGTCAGACTCTTGGACCCTAAAACATCATCCTTGGTCACTCTGTTCATACAGAGTGATTGATGAAGCATATGGCAGTTTTGAGTAGTGATCTAGAAAGATATTTCTGCAGAAATGCACATTTGATCAGAAAGTTTAATGCAGAATAGGAGTCAGATCTTTTAGTAATGGGCTGAAGAAGAGGAAATGTCATGGTCACAAGGGTAGAAAAAGATTGTCACCGCAGCAAAGGGCAGCAGGTGATTGAGAGGTAGAAGATGAGTTTGGTCAGGAAGACAGGGGGTACGCCAGTTTAAAAACCTTGGCCTCACTCAGGGCCAGACAGGGGCAGAATCTGGGCAAGGCTCAGAAGCCCAGGAAAGCTCAGGTTTAGGCGGGGCTCAAAAGCCCAGGTAGGGCTGGAGCGGTGGCACAGTGGGTAGGGCGTTTGCCTTGCACGTGGCCGACCCGGGTTCGATTCCCAGCATCCCATATGGTCCCCTGAGCACCGCCAGGGGTAATTCCTGAGGGCAGAGCTAGGAGTGACCCCTGTGCATTGCCGGGTGTGACCCAAAAAGCAAAAAAAAAAAAAGCCCAGGTAGTGACAAGGTACTGAGCACAGGAGTCTCACCCCCATGCACGTGGCCATGGCTGGGGACTAGGAAAGCCAGAAGAGGAAGACAGGAACTGCTGGGGTATATTTGGGAGGCCCAGTGACTAGTCTTTCCAATGTGCATGTGGCTGGATTCTAAGGAAAGTATCTATGAGAGAGCATGGCGCAGGGCAGAACCTGGCCATCATTCATAGGAGGTGAGTAGATAGTGTGGGACAGGACTGGTGATGTCATTCACAGGTAAAGGAGAGACCTGGACATCTGGATAGGAACCTAAGCTATGAGCATTATCTGTACAATAAAATAACTTTCAATCTTCAGAAAAAATTAAGAAAATTAAAACCTTAGCCTCTCAGTCACGGTTTTCCTTGAGGGTAAACACCCTTACCACCAGAAGGGGTGTAATGTGTGTGTGTCTGTGTATTTGTACATGCACATGCATTTCTCTTGGAATATATATACACACACACACATATATATATATATATATATATATAGAGAGAGAGAGAGAGAGAGAGAGAGAGACGACAGAAATTGAATTCAAGGAATTGGCTGGATTGGCAAATAAACTCTTTCTCACAAGAACTGTATTTGTTGTTCTATCAAAGATTTTCAGATGACTGAATAATACCATCCAGGTCTTCAAGGACAGTTGACTTTGCTTTAAGTCAGTGGGTTGTAGATGTGAACCTCATGGACCAAATCATTCACTCCAATACCCAGCTGAGTGATTGAATAACCATAGCCTAGCCAAATGGGCATAAAAAAGTGACCATCAGTGTAATATACTTGAAACATTTAGTTATCCTTGTCAGATACTAAAAATAGTACACATTCTTACTTTTTTATTGGTAGAGATTTTGTAGTTTGCAGTGCTGAGATCTCCATACTGTTTTCGATAGAGGATGAATCAGACCACTTTCCCACTAACAATGCAACAAGGGTTTCTTTTTCATGACATCCCCAACACCCTTTGTTCCAGTTGTTTTGATATATGCTATTCCCATTGTTGTGAGATATTTCATTGTTGTTTGGATTTATATTTGCTCCAAAATAAGTGATTATGAACACCTTTTTATCTGTCTACTGCTTATCCATGTATCTTCTTCAGGTGACTATTTATCATGTCCCATTTTTTGACAGGGTTATTATTTTTTGTTTTTGTTGTTGAACATTGTGAGTGTTTTATTTATCTTGGATATTAGTTCCTTATCTGATGTATACTGTGCAAATATTTTCTGTTTTTTCTTTTTGGATCACATCTGGCAATGCAAAGGGGTTACTCCTGGCTTTACACTCAGGAATTACTCCTGGTGGTACTCAGGGGACCAGATGGGATGTTGGGAATCGAACCCGGGTTGGCCGCATGCAAGGCAAACACCCTACCCGCAATACTAGCCAACAAGTCCCCATATTTTCTCCTGAAGTAAGAATAGAGCTTCCATAAGACCAAGAATTTGTTTCAAGAACACAAAAATATTTTTTTTAATTTTATTAGTGAAACACCAAGA